CTTGGAGATTTGCATAATTCAGTGAGCCGGTAATTTCTAAATGGCCAGTGTGTGATGTTACAAAGTCATGCATGGTTAAGATATTGTTTCAAAGAAAGATTGAGCAGTTGATTTTACTGGAGTATGAAAAGTTCATTAATATCAGAGTCTGAATCCCAGGTAATTACTGAGTTTTTGTGTAGTACAAAGTAATATCCACATTTGTTTCATGATTATTAAAATACATACTCCTTTTCTAACTTCATAACTGTATAAAGCCAAAGTCTTTACTTCAATCAAAACAACATATCAGAGGAGATTGAATGCATAAGTAGATATGAGAATCCAGCTGTCTTCTATTAATTAGACAGTAACAAGATTTATAAAAATGTAAAAATGTGCTACTCTGCTAAACTTTTTTCATTTGGAAAAAATAGTTGTTTTTCATAGAAATGTTGTTTAACTGGGTTTATTATTGTTAATTCTAAATGAAATAAGAGATTCCTATTTTTTAAATTATCCATTTTAATTTTGAATATGGTATAATCCACATAAACAAAAGGTTTTTGGAGTTCTCAATAATTTTTTATGTTGTAAAGGAGTCCTGAGACTAAAGGTACTGCTGTATCCCCTGGCATTGCATATATATTCCAGGGTGGAGGAGGGCAGGAGGAATGCTAGAGAATGGGATAGCAGCTGCATCAGGAAAGGAAAATGTGCTCCCAGAAAACATCAAGGGTAATATCTTTAGAACTGTCTTACATATTTACCCTTAACTGCAAAATAGTGTGAGAAAGTGAGAACTTTGGATTCTGTTGCTGCTCAGAACAATGTTGGAGTTCTGCTGGAGATGATGGATTTTGGTTAGATAGTTACCAATGTCTTTTACACATCAATTGGGGTGTGTGTGTGTTGAATGACTTAACTGGTCATGGTCAGAGTTTCAGGGAAGTTCTGTCGTTTGATTGTTTTGTGCAGATTCCCCAAGACTTGCTTAGACATCTCACTTCATTGTCTTCTTGTTAATTCTTGGCTTCTTCCATGGTGTGTTTGGTCTCAGTAGGCTCTGTCCCCAGGTCCATTTTATTGGAGTCACACATAGACTTGCAAAATCATTGACAGAGCTGATTAAATTGGGAAATGTCCCATGTTTTTCAACAGAGATTCTCTTTATCTTTGTGATTTGGTAACTTCTTAACATTAACAAAACTTTGCTTTCTTATACCCTTAAACTGTTTTTCTCAAACTTGTTTATCAGTCTGTTTCCTGACTGATTTATTTATTTGTATTAACTCAATTATGAGCTCACTGCCGTCTTTTAAAGAGAAATTTACTTTGTCAGGAGTCATGATTCACTTAAAAAAAAAATGATTCAGAGCCTATATGGATTATTCTGGCCCAGGATTTACAATCAGACTTACATCTTAAAGTGTGGCCTGGGGGCCAGCAGCATGGGAGTCACCTGGGAGCTCATTAGAAACAACAGAATCCCAACTGTCCTCAGGCCTAACAGTCTGCATTTTAGCAAGATCCCTAAGTAATTCAAATGTACAAAGTTTCCGAAGGACTGGTCTGAGAGAGGAAGCAGATGAGAAGAGGAACTGTATTCTGAGAAGTTTTCTTGTTTAATGTAAAGAAAAAGAGCCCATAAAGAGAGGCAGAGATGAGAGTCAGCTGGGGAGGTGTGTGGTATGATATCTCCGTGCTTCCTTGAGGAAGCAGCAGGCAGTGAGGCTCTCTTCTGTCAAGATGGTGATACCCAGTGAGCAGTGATGGAATGTATTAGAGACTGTGTGAAGATAATTTGCCAGGGTTTTTATCACTTGGGCACTGAAGCTTAGTTTCAGCTTGAGCTGCAGTGAAACTCTCTCTCTTTGTTATTCCTCATTTCAGTTCTTGATATTGATGTTCGGTAAACTTTCCTTCTTCTCATGTAGGAACTTGATGTTCTTTGACTGTAAGAGAGAATGATGTCACCCACTCTACCCACTGGAATTTATATATGTTCTTTTTTGTGTCATTCTTTGCCTCTTCCCTGGTTGTACATTCCTCAATGAAACACTATTTCAAGGCACTTCTGTGGTAATGTTACCATTGGTGCCTACCTCAGAGTTAGATTTATTTTTGTCAGTTTTCTGTGCCTGATACAATTGTTTGTATATGGCAGTCACATAGTAAATAAATATGGAATGAATGAGAAACTGATTTGAATGAATCCTGGAATTTGCTTCCTTTCAGTTAGTCCAAATAAATGTGGCAATGTTTTTAAAAAAACTATGGTCTAGTGGGACTGAATTGTTAATTTCCTACCAAATAGTGGAGAAGCAATACCAAATATTGAGACTTTAAAACATCTTTATCTTCTGGTGCTCTGGGGCTAGTTATTTGTTTTTACCCTGTAGAATACTGAATTGTTCTAACAAGGAAAACAGGATAAAGTTTGTGTCATTAGGGTTATTTCTCAAATTCATAAGGTAAAGAGCAATTTTTAGATCTCAATCTTGATTTATAATGTTACCTAGCTTAACAGCTAGGCTGTCCCCACTCAGTACCATTCTCTATGGAATAATGGGTGTTGGGAAGGTCTAGGATATGAATTATTGCTGCTTGGAACTTCTCTGTAGATTTCCAGATGGTGTTAAACTGGCTATTTCTTGTAAGGTAGCAGGTAATTTGATAGCAATTATAATTGGTTTTCTGTACAAATAATACAAAGCATATGGTATCTTTGTTTTAATTTAGTAGACTAAATTAAAATTTGGTAGTAAATTGCCAGTAGAGGAGCCTTTAAGTTGGATTTGCGGCAGTGTCCTGTGTTTGTCCCTAGTGCGTTCTTGACTCATGAATGAAACTTCGGTGTTTGTAGATTTACCTCTCATGTGGACTCTCATTTTCCAGAGAAAATAGATATTGGTGATATATTTCCAACACCTTGAACATTGTTTATAATTTTATTCTTTTCCTTTATAGCTAGCTAAGTGATGAGCTTAAGATCAAGAAACAGTCCATGAAACTAAACACTTAATAACATTGTCATGTTGTATTACATTTAAGAGATATGAACTTCTGTTTGTACTCAGATTTATAAAGTAAGGGAGAATATAATAAAATCATTCCCCAAATTACACAAACACACTGCTATGAAGACAAGACAGTATTGCCAAAACATGTGCTGAGTGGCAGGCTACTTGTGAGGTCTTGAAACGTTTCTTCATAATCATTTTAATGATACCAAGTGTACAGAAGCAAAGTGTGAAAGTCAAAGCAGTCTGTGACTTGATGGATTGAGGGGACGGAGAAGATCACAGTTTTCTTGGTGGCCAGCTTTCTTGAAGAAGAGCCTTAGTGGAATGGAATCCGCTCTTCCTCAAAGGAGTTTTTATATGATCCACCTGCTCCTTTGTACTTCCTTATGATAAAAGAATTCTGCCTCCATCTCAGCATTTTGTGGTCTTTGCCGTGGTTATTTTCTGGCATGTGAACTGAATGGAGAATAGATAATCTTAAAAATACACATAAGATCATCTCTTCCATTTCCAGTAGTTTTTTTTTTTTTTTTAACTCATTTGATTTAGAGCAAGCCTGAGTGGATGCAGGGAAAGTTACTGTATTATTATTTTTTTTTTTACAATTTTATAGTGTGGAATATTGCTGTATTCATATGCTAAGGATATCATAACAAAGTACCATAGACTGGATAGTTAAAACAACAGGAGTTTATTTTCTTATTGTTCTGGAAGTTTTAAGTCCAAGATCAAGGTGTCAACAGCAGGTTAGGTTTTTCTTGTGGACCTCTTTCCTTAATGTGTAGATAAATGGCTATCTTCTCCCCGTGTCTTCTGTGTTCGTGTATCTATGTCCTAATTTCCTCTTCTTATAAGGACACCAGTCACACTGCTTTAGGGCCCACCCTAATGGCCTCATTTTAGTAGTTTCTTCTTTAAAGACTTCCATCTCCAAATGTAGTCACATTCTCAGTATTTAGAGTTAGGGCATCAATATAATTGGAGGTGGGCGGGGTAACAATTCAGTCTATAACAATTATGTATCAGGGAGGTCAATTTATTTATTTTTTTTTTTTAATTTTTTTTTTAATTTTTATTAGTTGGAGGCTAATTACTTTACATCATTACAGTAGTTTTTGTTATACATTGAAATGAATTAGCCATGGATTTACATGTATTCCCCATCCCAATCCCCCCTCCCACCTCCCTCTCCACCCGATCCCTCTGGGTCTTCCCAGTGCACCAGGCCCGAGCACTTGTCTCATGTACCCAACCTGGGCTGGTTATCTGTTTCACCCTAGATAATATACATGTTTCAATGCTGTTCTCTTGAAACATCCCACCCTCGTCAATTTAAAAGCAGAAAGACCAGAAGGAAAGTTATTCAAGAATTTCAAGTAAGAAATGAAGGGAACATAAAGGCATTGACAGTAGAAATGGAGATGGGATTTGAGATTGGGAGACACTGGTGGGGAAGCATTTGATAAGAAGACTTTGTAAGAGGAGAGTGAGAGGGAGGAGGCTGGCAGGACTCTGTTTTCTCTAACCCGGGAGGAGAATAGGCTTGAGGGAGTAGGTGTGAGCTGTGGAGTGTCCCTGCAGAGTGTTAGCACTTTTCAGCCATCATCTGTTAGGGTCTTTTGTCCCTGTCTCATGGCAGCTCCTCATCACATGCACCACATCATACACAACTGAAGACGCAGTTTAACCCCTCTGAACCTCCCCTTGAATGCTTCTTAAGATACGTATTGCCCTCATATTTTTACAGTTAGCCCTAAATTCCTGTCCTTTTCTTATTAATAAGTTCCTTTAGGGAAAAGACTTGTTTTATTCATATTTGCCTAATTCTCCAGTGTCTAATAGCTTGCAGGGCCCTGTACACAGTAGTTGGTGCACAGCAAATTCTAATTGAGGGAACAATTTGTTAATAGAATTGTTATGTTCCATTACTTGTTTGCCCATTTTAATCAAAACTTGATGCCTTAGGTAAAGTAAACCTGTTTGATTTTCTTGCAGAATGAGAAGACTTTGGGACATTCCATGAGTCATTCAAGCAACATTTCTAAGGTAGGGTGCCACTGAAATATGTTATTTTTGTAACTTGGGGTTTTTATATTCTTGTTTTTATATTCTTTTATATTTATACCTGGCATGTGTTTTATACTATTTTCAAGACATAAAGATCTCAATACATTGCTTTAATCTGCTCTGGAACCCAGATTATATGTGAGGTATGTAACAGTCATATTTTTCTAGGGATGCAGTTCTGAGCATGTGTTTGAGGGGAGTGAGTAATAGGAGAAAACCCTATTTCTTCCAGTAGAAATCATTTACTTTCAGGTAAAAGAATTCTCAGAGAGCCATCAGAGAATCTGTCACCTTAATTAGGAATGCATTTGAGAGACAGTAACAAAACAACAGTTCTACTGACTTAAATAATCATGGATTTGTGCGGTTCTGATGACAAGATGTCTGGAGGTGGATGGTTCATGGCTGATGTGTTGTTGCTCACAGATGTTGCCAGGGACCCAGGCTCTTTCTGCTTCCTTTGTGCCATCTTCCTTGGTACACTGTCATCCTCTTTGACACCTTATGGTCTTGGGGTGGGAGTTGGACCTTAGCTGACACTGTAGCTTGTGCAGTCTGTCAGCTGAGAGTGACCCTTTTCAGCCAGAAGGCAAAAGCTTTCCCAGAAGCCCCACTCAGTTGCCTGACTTCTGCTTACATCTCACTGGTGAGAACTGGATCACAAGACCACTGCCAGCTGGAACATGGCTAGGAAAAGGAGGGCAGAGAGGGTGAATCAGCCAGCCAACAGCACCTGATCACCTGTGGGATAGTCAGTTGGGTAGTCTGTCAGGAGTACGTCAGATGCTTGGAGTGACCCCAGAGCCTACAGACAGTGTCTCCCATGCCGTGAGCTTGCTCACATGCCCAGCTCATCTCTCAGCCCAGACACAGGCTCTGACCCACCCCTTGTTCGTGTAGGTATGTCTGTGAAGGTTCCTGGCAAAGGTGGACTTTCTCCCCAAGTCTATGTCAGGTCTGGACAGTATGGCAAAACCTGGCCTGCTGCCTCAGGTCTTTAATTTCTTTAAAATAGTCACATTATATGCTAAATGTTTTTTATTCAGATCACTCTGTATTATACTTTGGAATTAAGAGTAGAAAACCCTTTAAGACATTAATCAGTCTGTTCTTAGGCATGCTTGTGATCTGACCATGACATTCTGCCACTGAATTTTGCATAAAGAGAAAATCCATAGTGCTTAGTGTGCCTGAACACTGTTTACAGAGTGCTTCTTGGTTCATTGCTGACCTGTGTGTGTGTGTAAAGTCACTCAGTCATGTCCGACTCTTTGTGACCCCATGGACTGTAGCCCGCCAGGCTTCTCTGTCTGTGAGATTTTCCAGGCAAGAATACCAGAGTGGGTAGCCATTTCATTCTTCAGGGGATCTTCCTAATCTAGGGATTGAATTCGCATCTCATTATGTCTCCTGTATTGGCAAGCAGGTTCTTTACCACTGTGCCACCTAGGAAGCCTTCCCCCAGATCAGTGGGGGTGACTTTAGCCACCTCATATAAATACCTTTCAGTGAATACTCTCTGCTGTTCCAACCTCCTTTTCTTTCCTTTGCTGTTCCTTCAGCCAGGAATGCAGGAGCTGTAGAACTGTGCAGTGGTACATCATTACTGTCAGAGTGAAATGGCCAGTTTTGACTTCTGACTTTTTGAAGGAGCTGTCCAAAATGTTCCTCTAGACACAACTCTCCAACAGTGTCTAGAGGAACATTTTATGGGCTTGGCACAGACCTGGGGTGTGGGCCTTCTGAGTTACTCGGTGAGGGTTTTAGGGTAAGGTGAACAAAGGTTTACCAGACATGTGACTTTGAGTAAGGACACTCCTCTGAACTTTAATTTCTTGATGAGTAAAATTAGGATAATAATAGAACCTTCAGGCTTGTTGTGAGTCTTAGCGGTGATGTTTGCCAGAAGCCGTGTGACAGCTTCCTCAATGTAGTGAGTCAGTAAATAAAATGACTGTTGCTAAACTTGGTTGAACCCTGAAGACCTTCAACTGATTGGATCAGGATAGTCTAATTATTATTTCACTGCTGATTGAAGAACTGCAGGCAGGCTTTGTTTTATTGCATTTCACTTTATTACACTTTTCAAATGTTGCATTTTTTATAAATTGAAGGTTTGTGGCAACCTTGCTTTGAGGCAGTCAGTCAGCACCATTTTTCCAACAGTATTTGCTCACTTGTCTCTGTGTCACATTTTGGTAATTCTCTAAATATTTCAAACATTTTTGTTACTGCTATTGTATTTGTTATGGTGATCTGTGATTGGTGATCTTTGATGTTACTACTGCAACTTGCTGAAAGCTCAGGTGATGGTTAGCATTTTTTAACAATAACGTATTTTTTAATAGAGGTATGGCTTCACTGATAGCTCAGTTGGTAAAGAATCCACCTGGAATTCAGGCGACCCTGGTTCAATTCCTGGGTCTAGAAAATCCACTGGAGAAGGGATAGGCTACCCACTCCAGTATTCTTGGGCTTCCCTTGTGGCTCAGATGGTAAAGAATCCGCCTGTAATGTGGGAGACCTGGCTTCAATTCCTGGGTTGGGAAGATCCCTTGGAGAAGGGAAAGGCTACCCACTCCAGTATACTGGCCTGGAGAATTCCATGGACTGTATAGTCTATGGGGTTGCAGAGAGTTGGACACCACGCGACTTTCACTTTGTTTTTTAGTTATAGTGTTACTTCAGAGTTAATGGAGAACTGTGAAAGCCCAAAGCTTTCTTCCATAGAGCAGCAAGAAGATCTGGGCTTCTTGCATTTCCACAGCAGGAATTCCTACACACTTCACCAGGATCAAAAGAAAACCTCAGTAGTGGGGAGTCTTGTTTGCTCACACAACTAACTTCCCAGTGATCCTATCAGCATGAAATTTTGTTGCAAAAGCCTCCTTAAGTTTGTTAACAGATGAACAAGTTAAATGGGGCTGAAGAATAGAGGGCAGGATTGCTATGAAACTTGTTTTTGAGAATGCAGTTCTTTCTTGTTCTGTTTATAAAACAAGCCTGTTATTTGAGGCTACTTTTAGGCCAAGACATGTAAAACTCTTGTCTTCAGTGTAGCAGACATATTTAAGCAGACGCTTCCTACCCTTGAACTAGAAGATACAAGGGAAGGTCAGTCTGTGGACAGGTTATGCTACCTGAGATTCTGTCTTTGTCGAGACTTTTCCTGTCAACTCAGCCTGTACCCAGGCTTCAGGGTGGTCTGCCCGTGTCAGTCAGTCACGTGCAGTCTGCGTTACACTCCTATTAGAAAGCTTACAAAATGTTCTTCGTCATGTCGCCTAAACTCTTTTTCTATCAACCCCCACTGGTGCTGATTCTGCCCTTTGTGAACTAGAGCTCTGACAGACAGTGGGATTTTGGAGGCTTTGTGTTGGAGAGAAGGGAGGGAGTGAGGTGGGTCTCTGCTGTTGGAGTGATGGGCAGCCTCTGACTGGTGGCCATCACTCCTGGGTTACTTGGAGCACGAGCTGGTGGGGGAATGTGCCCAGGTACTGACATGGCCTTCGGGTGGACTCGGGTGGTCAGAGAGGTTGCTCTTGGAATGCCTACCATGTAAGGGTGAGGTGACCTGACTCCTTGTCCAGGGGTATTGTACCATCACTGCCCCCCACCTGCAAGCTGTCTCATCACCTGGTATAAAGTACCCTCAACTGTAAGGTGTACAAGGAGGCCCAGTGCGGTGTTTAGGAGTATTACATGAGTTCAGATTTTGTCCGCACATAACTCTGTGCCAGACATTATGCTGAACCAAACAGAGGAGAGAGGAATAAGCAGATGTCCATAAAGTACCTTTAGGCAGAATCATGAATGGGAAAGAAAAGGGGCTAAGGTACAAAATGATGAGGCCCCAGAGTTGGAAGGGCTGTTCAGGGAAGGTCTGGCTGAGGAGGGGATGCGGACGTAGAGGGTTGAAAGCTTCTGGCCGGGATGAGGTTAAACTGTAGTAGAAAACTGGTCTGTCACCTCCTTGGGAAATCTAGTGCTTTAGGTAGAGATAGAAGGAAGGTATTTGCAACCTTAGTCAATAGGAGTGATGGCTATCTCGCCCATCCAATTGCAGGTACCTGTAAACCCTGGGGCTGTGTTGGTTGGGGCTGTTCCAGTGAGGATCACTGTTTAAGGCTTCCTAAGTGGTGCTAGTAGTAAAGAACCCGCCTGTCAGTGCAGGAGACAGAGGCGGGTTTGATCCCTGGGTCAGGAAGATTCCCTGGAGGAGGGCATGGCAACCCGACTCCAGTATTCTTGCCTGGAGAATCCCATGGACAGAGGAACCTGGCAGGCTATGGTCCATAGGGTCACACAGAGTCAGACATGACTGAAGCAACTTAGCATGTTGTTGTTCAATCGCTAAGTCGTGTCTGACTCTTTGTGACCCCGTGGACTGTAGCCCGCCAGGCTCCTCTGTCCATGGGATTTCCCAGTCAAGAATACTGGAGTGGATTGCCATTTCCTTCTCCAAGGGATCTTCCAGACCCAGGGACTGAACCTCCATCTCCTGCATGGGCAGGCAGATTCTTTACCATTGACCCACCAGGGAAGCCCTGAGGACCACTTTACTTCGAACAGAAATCCTTTAGAGGAAGATTGGGATTCCCTGAGGAGGCTTGAATTCACTCTGTCCAAATGAAATTTTTTAAGATACATGGAATCAGCTTAGGCCAGGTTCACTGTGGGGGCTGTATTTCCTTGAGCCTCTGCTGACGCCTCTCTGGGAGACTTATATGCAGGAAAGCGCAACACGCAGACACGGCATTAGTTTACCCCGAGGGAAGCATTCTCATTCAACTCTGGGAACTGGATTTGGTCCAGGTGACACAATTTCTTGAACAAGTTCATGACTAGCAGTGCTTCCCATGGGGAGATGGCAGTGGCAAGCTGCGCATTGCTCATGAAGCCTGGAACATGTGTGCCGCCTCCTCCTCCTGCAGTGAGGTGAGGTGACTAAGCTCTGGCAGTTTCCAAAGGCTGATACC